CGACCCAGAGCATGTGACAGTAGCCCTGGTGCTGGGCACATAGCACGGCTGTGGCTTCTGCCCTGTTAGTAGAGCTGGAGCCACTGCCCCATGCCCCACAGTGCCACAGCAGTCCCAGCTCCAGCACGGGCCATGCGATTGTGTCTTCATCATGGCATGGCAATGGGGCCGACAGCTGAAGAGGTAGGGCAGTAGCAATGGGCACAGCGCCTGGAGGATGACTGACGGGGGCTGTATCAGCCCTCACTTGAGCCCAAAGGCCCCAGACTCTGTGGCAGCCCCTTCCTCCCCCTGCTACACACCCCAGTTTCTGGCAGCCCTTGATCTGCAAGTGAAATGTAATGCTTTAAATGTCGGCAGGCAAAGTAGAAAATGCAAAGTTGTCTAACGACCAGAAAAAGGGTAAGAATCGCGCCTGAAACTTCAGGGGCCAGCACCCTTTTCTCAGCTGCACCAGCATAAATCTGAAATGGTTTCACCGATTCAGCTCCCAGCTGGAGTTTTTCTCTCTGAATTTGTTGCAGGTAGAAGCAATTTTTCTGTGCCCCTGGGAGGAGGGAACTTTTGCTTTGCAGCCAGGCCAGTCCGTGGAGCAGATCTGTGTTTATGCTTTTGTATTTTTGTAATTGGATTGTTCTAAGATTAAAAGATCTGGCTTCATTAACACTCACTACAGAGCAGGAGAAAGTTTCTTACTCCGATCTTGCCAATCTTCGTGCTGCTAGTTCCCAGCTGATCGGCCCCAATGGCCAGGTTTGGGTTGTTACGGACGCTGGAGGCTCAAGTCACAAGATGCCAAACCTGCTGTTAAAATATGCAGGCTCACAGATGGAGCCCGCATCTCGGAGGGGGTCTCGTGAATCGAGTGCTCGGTTGGGGCTGATGCCAGCAAGGGCAAAATAGCCTCTTTATCCACCAGAGTCGTCAGGTGATACGCGCTTTGATCGTGCCTAGGAAATACCGCGCTGCTCTCCTTCGGGCACCGGTTCAACTTCCAGGACGGCTGGGCTGGTGGGGTGAGGTGCTTGTTGCGTGCATGCCTCTTGGCTTGCTTTCATTGCGTGGGGAAAAAGCTTGCGGGCTTTCAGTTCAGATGTGCTGTTTCTTCTGAATTATGTTGCGTTTAACCCCTCCGTGTTTTTAACCAGCCAGGTTGGCTCTTGGGTTAAGTGGCAAATGCTCGTATGGACAAGCTGGGAATAAAAAAAATAAATAAAAAATTGCCAGGATAGGAGGCTGCCAAAAAAAGAGAAGGCACCAAGAAGTCCTTCTCTGTCACAAGCCCTAGGAGTTGAAAGCAGGCACTTCTCGCAGGTGATGTGTGTATTCAGTGCACCTACAGGATACCTTCCTCCTGTGCAGAGATCTTTGCTCAAAGTTTCTTCCTGCAGATCCCAGTGGCGCACACCTGCTTCCCTCACCCCCCACCCCAGATAAATGTTAGGTTCGGTAGTAGGGCAGCGAGCCTGACTCGAACACCCAAAATAAAAATGCACAATGGCTATATTGCAAAGTGATGGCATACCTCAGTAGGGGAAAGAGGGGCAGGACTTCCAGGTCCACTGGCTGACTCGGTCTGACTCCTCCAAACTGTATTGTGCCCCCCTGTTTCTCCTTCTCCACCTCCCTATTGCTTAATCTGGAGAAGAGTAAAGATAAATATTCCTGTCGCACGAGAGCACTGTGAGGTTTCGTTAGGGTGTGTAAGGGCAATAAGTGGTGTTGCTGCTGCTTTAAACAGAAGAAATATGTTGGATGTTTTGGTCTAAATAAATTGCTTGAAATATTTCTTGCCTGCTTTATTGCTCTATGTAACAAATGGGCATCTTACGGTTTGGAAATCAACCCCTCAAAACCGTTTAAGATGGCAACAGTCCTCTCACTCCAGCTGAGGAAACTTAATTGGGTCTCTGCTCCCAGCATGGCCACAAGTGGTATCTCAGGACCCCTGGGTGACTCTTGGGAGCCAAAGGAAGGGAAAAAAATGACCTCAAACATGGGTTCAGACATGGACAGACATGACCTTGTATTGCAGAGATTACAGTCGGGTCTGAAGGACACAGTTCAGTATTTTAATCTTGTCCAAATTTCAGCTTGGAAGGGCTTTGATGTTGCAATTATGACCCCAGGAGATCAAAAGGGAATCCACTAATCTGGGCTCGCAATCAGAACAGCCTGCGACTTCCCTTGTGTCCTGAGCAACTCCTACCTGTCTGCTGCCAGAGCCTGCGCAGAGGGATGCCAAGTAAGGAGGGACGGTCCTATGGAAAAGCAGGGTCGGTCTGCTCCGTAGCACGTCTTTTTTTTCCCCAGTTGTGCGATGATGAACTAAGCAATGATATAATATGCTCATTCATAACCGCACAGCTCTCATTGAGAGTATGGCAAGGTCCCCCTCCGAACGCTGCTGGCTAGATAGCCTGTCCAGTCCTCGTGCAGCGGGGCTTGGCAAGAACCATTTCTTCCCTTTTGCACCTTTCGTGCTGGGGCCAAGCACGACTTCTGTGCTTGAACTCATTGCAGCCATGATGATTGCAATGGCAATCAAACAAAACGGGGAGAAAGAGCGGTATGTGGTGGGCTGTTGTAGCCAGCAGGGTGCGTGGGACCACACACTGCATCGTCCTGAGCCGCGGCACAGCAGATATGCATCAGCTCCAGCAAGAGTCTGGAGTTAGTCCAGTCTTGCTCGAGCCACCCTCCCACAGGCATAGCCGTTTCCAGCTGGCCTCATTCTGCTCTTATCTTCCCATTTGTCTCTGGTTTCCATAGCAGTGTTAGGGTGGACCTAGCTACATGCACCCCCCTCTTCCTGATGCTACTTTTTTTTTTTCTTTTAATAAAAGTGGCCCGACTGTAGCAGAAAAGGCCAGTCAAAAAATAAAAGTCGGGCTGTCACCGAATGCCACCTAAATATAGAGGACTGTGGATTTTAACTTCGGGGGGCACTGTTCTTTGTTGAAAAATGTTATCGCTGGAGCCCGTGCTGGCAGGTTTTCATCCGCTGTTGAATACGCTCATTGATTTTTCTGTTTTGTGTTGTTGCTGTTGTTCAAGGGGTTACCCAGGGCCAAGCCAAACTTGAAAACGCTCCCTGTTGAAAGAGCGGCTTCTCGTTTTTTGGAGGCCTTACTCATTCATTGTTTTGAGTGATATTTATGAAAGTTTTCCAAAGGGCTTGGGGAGCGAGCAGGGGGAGGAAAGAGAAACGCAGGTATCTCGGTAATGGAAACCGAGGGCAAATTGAGCCTAAGGACAGCAGAGGTAATGTATTGCTGTGAGTACAGCGACTCTGAATATTTCATCTCTAACCAGCAGCGCATAATTCTCTCCCTGTATTACATACCCTTTAACAGAGCACTACAAACGTGCCCTGGCCTGGCTTCGTTCTGCTGCGATAATGGACTTACTTCGGTATCCGTACAGTATTGTCTTGAATCCCATTATTCAGCTGAGGAACAAATCTGTTCCAGTGTATCGCTTTAACCTTTGATGTATGAGGGCTTCCTCTTCCCCCCCCTCCCCACCGTCTCCCACATGCTTGCAATATTTATGACTTTTGATGTACTAGGACACCCTAGCAGCCGCGTATGGTACAGTTGCAGCTCGAAATGCATCGTTTTATTGCATTTTGTAGCAGTGGCTTCACATGGGTCTCTCTAAAGACGCACATTTTATAAATGAGCCACTGAGAGCACTTGATCTTTGTTGCTTTGACTTCTAGAGGCTTTTGGCTAACATTTAGTTGGGTTTTAGTTGGCTACCAGATGGCTGTTAGTGCAAGCCATTGTTTTTTCTAGTGCCAATCCTTTCCTCTGGGTTGTGACTAAACATGTCATTTTTTGGTGGAGCTGGGATTTCAGGGATTATTTCTGGATTTGCTCTGTGGCCATTTCTTGGCCAGACATCATGCTCTGTTTCCATACTCCGAGGGGTTTTGTTTCGAAGGGTTAGTCATGGTCAGTAATAAACACAAAAGTATTAGATACAGATGTGCAGGATAAGAGTTCAGCCTGACAAATGTATTTCTACCCAGTAGGGAAAGTTTGTGTTTTTCCTACCCCCACCGCCTCTAAGGTCTCTGAATAGTTCAGTTAAGATTCTTGGGCAGAATTTATGAACGCGCAGATGCATCTAAGCCGATCCATCTCAGCAAAACTGGTTTGCCTTGAATTGGCTAGAGTGACGCTCAGTGTGTTGTAGAGTGGGTTGCAAGTTGGAGGCAAGATCTACGAGGAATGGGCAACTACCATCACCTAGATGAAGTGAAATCATCCCTATCTATAACCAAAAAAATGTATTTAAGAGGTCTTACATTGATGGAATTTAAGTATAATGGCCGGATTTGTTTAAATGACTGGGCACCCAACTAGGGGCATTTTTAAAGATGCCTTAAATATTCATAGATGTTAGGGGCTGGAAGAGACCTCTCAAGATCATCAGGTCCTGCCTCCCTGCGCTTGGGCAGGAAAGACTGCTAGGGTCACCCAAAACCAGCCGTCTCTTGAAAAACTTGAGCACTGCTGCTCCAAAGACAAATTTTCTCTCCCTGATCATGGTTTATAGGGTCTTTAAACTCAAAGGAGAGAGGGATGCTTCTGGAGGAGAACTCTGCGCTCCTTTGTAAGCATCCCTCTGACACGCATGCCCAAAACCATGTCCAAACCCACACAACCCAATCTCGATTACACTGAGATTCATAGTAAGTTGGTGCTTTGGGGGAGGGGGAGGGATCAAAATGACTTCCTGGCTAAGGGGGTTCCTCTCGGCTTTGCCGGACAATAAATAGCATGTGTGCAAACCAGGAAAAGCGGTGTCGTCGCGAGGTATGTGATTGCAGTCCGGGCACAGGGGTTTGATGGTTGCACGGGCAGATCCGACGTGATGATGCCTGTTACCAAATGTGAATCTGCTGTCTGCCTGCTGGAGTGACTGAAAACTTGCCAGCGCCGAGGAGAGCAGGCAGTCACTTCCTCGCATTGTGTTCTCTCTTCCTCCAGTGCTGTTACGAGAAGAAGTGTCCCAGCTTCAAGAGGAGGTTCACCTGCTCCGCCAAATGAAGGAAATGCTGACAAAAGACCTGGAGGAGACGCATGGCAGCAAGTCGACAGAGGTGCTCTCTGCCACCGAGCTCAAGGTCCAGCTGGCACAGAAGGAGCAAGAGCTAGCGCGAGCCAAAGAAGCCCTGCAGGGTAAGAGCGAAACCCTCCCTTTGTTTCTGTACCCGGGTCTCTCGTGTCCCGCTTGTTGTGGGTGGCTCTGTCGCATGTCTTTGCTGTCGTCTCTTTTCCTTCCCCTTTTTCTGCCTCGTCGTCCCCTTCTCTTTCTCTGCCGCCTCCTTCCCTCTCATCCTCTCTCTTTCCCCACCGAGAACATCCTGAGGTTCATCCCAAGATGTTGGCTAACAAGGAAGGAGAAACTGAGCCTTTCCTTCTGACAGCAGGGTTTACAGTCGCTCTGGAGCCTCCTGCTTTTATCCAAGGGGAGTTGGAAGAAGCCGAGCTGCTTCTGAAGAGCCTTTTACACTGAGCTGATGGGGAGGTTGTTTGCAAGGAACCAGCTCGAACAATTTGGCTCTGAGCAAGAGTCCGTGTCTTGTCTCTAATGTAATCCCAGTGGCTGAATTCCCTGTCGTCAAGGGCATATTCACTTAGCTTTCTGCCCCCCTCTGAAGGGTGTTTTCCACTGGACTGGGCAGTATCCCAGTGTTGTCCATCTGTGCATGATGCCTTCTGAACCCATTTGCTCCTGTCTGACATTAGACAGGGCATGTAAGGGTGAACATCACTCATGGCAAGGCATTGGCACATAAGTGTTTGATTTAGGCTGGCCTGGATCCCAAGGTTTGCTTTTTCTTTTGATGTAATCAAACTGTTCCTCTTCCTCGTTTCCTAATTGCCCCCGCCCCGGAGGTTTGCTTCGCTCTCCTTTGGAAATGGAAAGCGGTGTGCATGTGTGTGTAAGGAGGGTGACCCCTCCTAGCAGAATGACCGACAGGCTGCTCTCCAGCAGGACAAAGCCATGCTTTTCACCACTATAGGTGTCATTAAAAAAAAGACACATGTCTGTCACTATTATTGCACTCTGCATCAGTTATGAGAGACAATTTGCCACCAGTGTCAGCATTACCAGGAGTGGCCAGAACCGGCCTGTACATGGATATGATCCAGGGCATTATGTTGTGTTTCTCATGCTCTCTGTTTGTAGGGTTGCTATTAGCTCCTGTATGAACTCACACAAGATGGTAAGCACAGTGGGCACCTCTTCCCAACTGAAGGAAGTTGGTGTGGGGCGAGGAGGTGCAGGCTCTTCAACGCTTTTCATGGGTGTGGCAGCCTGCTTCTACTGACGCTGCCTTTATTCATCTCTTGCTTGTGTGCACGGCTATTGTGAGCGCGAGTGAGATGGGGCAGCCGCTCCCAATGACAACACAAATGAAATACCGCTTCTGCCCAGCCCATGGGGCAGCTCCAGCTGAGTCCTCTCCTGCTGCTTCCCTGCAATTCTGGGCCAGCTCAAAAACCTACATCCCTAGGCGCTGCATTTGGAGGTGCAGTCTCTTGAGCGTCACTAAACGTGCTGCTCTTTTATTTCTGAGCCAGCACAGCTTACAATCATCAGCAGCACCAGCTTATTTATATATTTTTCTATAAATCTCGGTCTCTGGCAAATTGATCCTCTCGCACATAGGGAAGTAAATACTAGATTCTGGAATTCCCATTTAAAAAAAAATCTGTCTCCTGACCAGGAAAGATGGTTGGCAGAAACATCCAAGCTTGTAGGGTTTGTAGAGTGTGGGCAGCTGCATGTCTGCAGTGGATTTGCTGCATAGTAATGCTGTTTCATCAGTAAAGCGTTGAACCAATTTTAAGGACTGTACAGTAAAATGAGAGAAAGATCCAAAAAAAAAAAAGGGGGGTGGTGGGAAGCCCATGGAGAACCAAGTATAGTAAATATAGGGCAATCCAGTGACTGAAGCAGGCAGGCCATGTGGTTAGCATGATGGAGGACAGGCCAGTCTCTTGCAATAGCGTTTGGACCAAAGAGAAGATGCGAGGGATCAAGCCAGGCAAGACCTAAGAGCTCATCGTGTGAACTGCTGGCAGTGGGAAACATATGAAAGAGAGATGAGGAGAGACCTCGAATTGTGCGAGCTTCCTAGGACCTCTGGGAGAGCCGCCCAACTTGCATCATTCTGCTGGATTGCTCAAGGTCCTGGGAGCTCTGTTGCTTGATGTTTAAAAGGAGGCTGGTGAAGGCATTTGTGCATGGCAAAAAAAGCATCAGATGAGTGTTGGCCTTGCTGGCCTGGTCTGAGCCACAGCAGCGCTCTCTGGCTTTTGCAATGCTTTACGGCGTGAGAATTGGCTCGGGAAAAATCCAGGTTGTTCCCATTACCTGAAGCTGGGACTGGAAAAGCATTCCCCGGCCAGACCACATTGAGCTTAATGAGGTGAGTGAATGAAAAGGACAAAGAAGCTGAAGGGCAGGGATTAAAAACTGAGGCAGCTATGTCACCATGGGGATTTCAGGGGTGATTGCTTAGCAGCTGTTCTGCATCGCAGCAGGGGGAGTGCGGGACCTCTCCTTGCATGCCGGAGGTGCCGAGAGGGAAGTGGCATAAAGCTAAATGATATTGCGGAAGGTACGCTAAGATGACGATGCTTTCCAACAGGCTACAAAGTTGAGGGACTAAATTGCAGGCAGGTGTAGGCTTAATGAAACCTGCATAAAGGAATTTATGGGCCTGTAATATGAAAAAGCTGCAGTATGTGTCTTTTTTTTAAGCATTTAAATAAAAAAAAAGATCAAGCAGCAGCTGTCACGTGCCACCTGCTTGCTGTGCCGCCTGAGGCCTTGTAGGATAAGAGCACTGGAAAATGTGCACCCTGGGTGGAAGAATCCTCAGCTTTCAAACTAAAAAAGGTGTCCCAGCAATGTCTAACAAAGCACCGTTACTTTCCCCTTCTGCACTTTTCTTTCACATAGCGTCTTTTGCCCAAGAATCTCACTTGCCACAAGCATTAAGGGTCACAACAACCTTCAGGAGGTTGGGCAAGGATTATTGTTTCCCTTTAGGGGGGAAAACCTGAGGCACAGGAAGGTGGTGGCTTCTCCAAGGTCCCTCTGAATCGGATCCTAGCAGAATTCGCCACTGTTGGCTCCCAGCCCTGGGCTCTTTCCTGGAGGCAATGCTCCCAAGAGAGCAGGGGCTTCATTACACTCTAAGTTAAAATGAGCAAAGTACTAGTGATTTTCCAGACTGGAAAATCTAGATCCTGCCACCAGATCTGCTTGAGACCTTGCAACAGTCTGCCCGTGTGCATCTGATTCCAGAATCCGGCTGGGATCAAACCTTGAGATCTGGAGTCTGCAGACATTTATCTTCACTGCAGCACTTACAGCGTTCTTCTGTATCCTGGGTTCTGAACCCGAGGGACGTATTAAAGTATATCAGGAATTTTGGGATGATTTTTTTTCCCCTCCAGAAAATACCTTCTTCGTTGTCATCGTCGTCGTCTTTTTTTTTTTAACTGAATATTTTTGTGGGAAAGTTTGTTTTTACAACGTGCATCAGGAAGGTTTCTGGGCCGGAGAGAGAGAGGCTAATTCTGTAGCCCAGTTGGCATGGAGTTATCAGCTACTTGTTCTGCTCAGTTTGGAGCCGGGATTGAATATGGGCATCCTACATCCCCATTAGCCCATATGGGTTGTAATATTAGTTTCTCTCAGTGGAGCCTTTCCACTTTGTAAAAACATTCATTGGACCGGAGAGAGCTCGACTGATTGACTCCCCAGCCTGGTAGTTGGGGCAGTGATCTGGGATGTGGAAGACCCAGGGCCTTGAACCCGGGCTTCCCACATCGCAGCTGTGCTGCCCGGTGGGTTAGGTGGGGAGGGTGTCTCATGTCTGTGGGTGGCTTTCCATCCCAAAGCAAAAAACCCACAAGCTTAGGAAGATCTCCATTTCATCCCAGTGCAGAACAAAAACCAATCTGAAACCTCTCAATGATTGCAGGAAGAGACATTGTGTTCTCTGGCAAGCCGTAGTCTGGTTCCAGAGGGTCATTATACCCCTTTTCTCTTCCTTTCTTTCTTTTTCCCACTTTAATCACTACATGGGAGGGAGAGTCCTATATTTCTTTGCTGCTATAACATGGGGTCAGGGCATGGAAGAAGCTGAGAACCGCTGTCCTTTTAACAGTGTGGTAACAATTACTTGCATGTGGTCAAAATCAGCATGTCAGTAGTAACCACTTTATCCACCATTCATTTTGCCTGGAACTCGAAACCCGCAGAAAACGATGATTCACATAAAGGCTAGTCACCAGATCAGGCATTTGCTCTGCCTCCAGATACCAGGGCTGAGCCTTGAAGCCGTGACACAAGCTACAGTTCACAGGTTTATGGGCTCTTGAAAGCATCCCCGTGAGCTGGAAACGGAGGGTGAAGGGATGGCAGCTTGTGTCCTCCTGCCTCGAGCATCCCTCGGATGGAATAGCTTACGTGTCCCAACTGGCAGGTGCCCGAGAAGGCAGCATAGTGCCAAGAACAGAAAACTACCTACGCCCTGCAATAGCTCCACAGCAGTCGCTGCCTGCCCGCAGACCAGCTCTGTCTGAACAGATGGAGTCAGTCCCTTGCATCGACAGCACATCCCGATCCTTGTTAGCACACGATGTCAAACAAATGCAGCGAGACAGGAAAAGAAACACGATGCCAAAACTCCTAGTGCACGCTCATTGGTGCGGTATTGTGATGTGGTGGGTGGGTAGTCACAGCACAAGAAAATGCTGCAGATATGCAAAAAGGTGTCGGCTATTAATAAACAGGAAAATAAATCAGGAAGTGCCATGTCTTATCCACAACCGGCAGACAGTCCTTGTTGTTCCAATCCACCCAAATTAGCAGGGAGGGAAGAAAGAAACCCTTTTCCCCCCTCCACAAATGCTGGCAAAGCAGCAGATCTAAATATAATCTCCAATCCCCCGTGCACCACATCCAGCTTTCACTCGTCAGTTTTAATTTAAAGATTCGAAAGAGACATTGTCAAAATTTCTTAGGCTCAGAAGTTGAGTGGCTTTAAATTTATTATGAGTTTGTGAGCAGACTGGACCCAGAGCTCAAAAAATACACATCTGAGATCCATCCTCTGTTGGCCACTCGAGGAATTTGCTAAAAGGGCCTTGTT